CCCCCCCCCCCCCAAGCGGGGTAACATTTAAGTTCTCAAGTAGTCTTCCGATGTGTGTGGTAGTGTAGTGCATGTCACTGTGTGTGTGTGTGTGTGTGTGTGTGTGTGTGTGTATCGGGGAGAGGAGATACGGATGAGTAAGGAAACATAGCGCGCGACTCGTGCCTCGTTTGTTCGTATATGATCTGGCATTAACGTGGTGTTCATAGAAAAAATTACGAAAATTAGCAATCAGAGCAACCAGCCACGGACAATTTGCTCCATTCACTGGAAACAGCAATAGATATTTCCTTGAACGTAATTGTTAGGACAATTAATGTTATAATTTAAGAAAATAAGGAGTAATGTGCTTGTGATTTGTTTGAAGATATTGATTTCTCAAAGTAAAATACAAAATATAAACATGTTACAAACGTTCCGTCTGCCCAGACCTGCATCGTCGACGCAGGTTTTCTTAATGCTAAAAGGGGGGTGGGTGGGAATGGAGTTAGTGAGGAAGTTTAAAATTTGTTCCGTTTAATCGATATAATTTGTACCACTGTGTAGCTCTCACTATTCTGCTTCTGCGTTGTTAATCTTCAGGCAGAATAATCACTTTATTTTTCGTAACAAGTGCCTTGCGGGGTCTTCTCACAGCCTTCATTACATATTAAATAAGTTGCGCAGTATTTCGTGTAAATATTAAACATGGACAAACAAAATGAAAGTTAAAAAACAAACAACCTATGATCACTCTGTGAACATAGTAGTATTCATCTTCATATGATCTTCTCAAACGATTGTGTTAACCTTAAAGACAACTTATAAAGCCGTTACGTTCCACGAGTAACAGATTTGAGTACGTACCACAACAGGTATTAAATCATTCCTCAAACCACAGCAGTTTCACCTTCCTTTGGACGTCCTTTGTAGTAAGTAATTTCCTTTGTCAATCAGTGGGCACGAATTACACCGCGAGAATACATTCTCTGTCCGGCTACGTGACTCTGCAACAGGCGGCTCACACTTGCGCATATGCACCAGCGCACGCGAGAGATCGCGATCGCACATGCGCTCATTAATGCAGACGTTCCTGCGGTGACATCCTGCCCCGAAGGACGCTCCATGCATTTGGATGGACTCGGCCTGTCGGTGATGTTACACTCGGATGTCTTGTGTGTATCAAACTTGTCACGTTGCCGGATGCTTTGTGTATATCGTGTCGTGTTGCAGGCCGTAACTGGTAAACTGTTTACAGCGCTCACAACACATACCGACGTATATTGAAATTGAATATGCAAGTGTCCATAAATCTGTGTGGGGTCTTGAATTTTTTTCTAACCACCTTTACCTGCACTTCTGATGTTGAATTGGCTGCGTCAAATAGTGGCGTCCACAATATACTATGTGGTTATTTCAGTTTCCAATACTCTTCTCACAACTATGTTAATCTTTATAGTTTCTCGCTGTTTCCTCGCTGTCTTCCCGGTCCGTCATCTCGGCCCATCGTCCCGGCCCGTCCCGACCCGGCCAGGTTTCCCGGCTAGTCCCATCTTCTCGGCCCGACTTGACTTCTCGGTCCGACTTGACTTCGCGGCCCGACTTGACTTCGCGGCCCGACTTCCCTCCCACCGGGGGACGGCGGGGACACTACCGGGAAGGCGCGCCGTTGTCTTGTTCTTGCGTTCGGTCCATTTGTGCCGCTCGGGCGGAGGGAGGAGCGCGTGGGATGACCTTGAGGGGTCGCGCCGTCGGCTGCTCTGTGACGCATCTGCGGCAGCGGCTGCAAGCGACCTTCGCGGATCTGACGTAGCCCCCGTCGCGCCGCGCCGGGCTCCCATCGAGGTTGCGCGAATCCGTGATAGGAGGAAGGTAGACCCTTGTGGGCCCTCCACGGGCTTTTGACAATGTGACATGTGACTGATGAGCTGAATGCGCGGGCATAGCGGTCACTGCTGTATGTGAGTAGGTAGGCTCCCAACACAAGGGGCATGAATACACCAGGATCCTCAGTTACACTAGGAGCGTGGATGTAACGTTGGGGGTACGTTGGGTCGCTCGCTCCGCCCGTCCGTTATGGACCTGTGTTTCATTGTTGAAATACTTTAATATTAATGAAATGGAAATCCTTTTAAAGTACCTACTTGAATAAATTGAATATATTTTCTAATTAAATGAAAATACACTTTAAAAACGGAATTATATTAAAACTAGCAAAAATGCAACTGTGTAAAACCAAACAAAATGGATTTCCAAAATGTATCACGCCATTGTTTTAAGAACAAAAAATAAAATGCTACCGTTTAGCATTGTATTTGTTGTAATGCCATTCGTGAAGACCGTCGAGATTTATTGCAGTAAATTAAATATTTTAATAGAAATCATCTTCATGAATATGTAGCTCCTTAGTATACAACAGATTTTTGTATACCAGGAATACAATAACATTTGCTGTTCCATAAATCAGTGCGTGGATAGAAAATATGTAACAGCGAATGAACTCCTCCTTGGAAACGTGCTATCGCACGACGTCAGCTGCCCTAAGCTGTGGTAAGTTCGAGAATTAAGTCGGTACGTGCATTTTGTAAATATCAGACGAAACTCTGACACATCTCACCCGGCAGGAGTGACATACATTTTTTTTTCTTCAATTTCTGTGCATATTGGAAATAGTTAATATAGATCAAAAAAATATAAAACAAAAAGTTTCTTCTTTCCATTCTACATTACGAAACTTTCTCCACACATTTCTCGGAAGTGGCACGTCTTGAGTCCGAGACGTGCAACGGGCTCTCACACGTGGGTAGCGGGAGAACGCCGTTGCGTGGGCAACTTCCTAGGTTCTAGGGTCAAGTCGAGATAAACCACGGTTGAGCTCGTAGAAGTACGCTTCGAGCGGGGAATACACTGTTCGTCACGGATGAGAAGATAACTCTCTTTTTGATTTGTGAAGTGCAGAAATGCCAGTATCTGATGCGTCACTCTATTCAAATAGAATCTCGATGTCAGATGACTGGGAGGACGAGCCAGTTAGAACATGCAGCACCCCACGCCCCGCCCTCAGATGAAACATGATACGTCATGCAGTGCCTTGTTTTTACTCTACAATTTACATCTAAGTTTTGATCCACCAATAGACACCAAAAAGGCGTAAAGTATTTGCTTTGTACTCTTTCTATACAAAAACAGTTGTAGAAATGTAAGCATTTTACCGGACAAAATTTGAATGAAAATGTTTCCACTGCCATTCGCATGTCGCGCTAGTTTCGGGAAGTTGAATTTTACAGTGTGTGGCGTATCGTGACGTTGATCTTCTCTATTTTTATCCTAGTGGCTTGTAGCCATATCTGGAGATGAATGGATTTGTTGGGGAGGTGATAATGAATTTACCGGACGTCTCTGAAAAAATGTTTGAAACTTCTAGGACCTGTAGAAAGATCGAAGATGATAACATTCTGCAATAAACTTATCGTGAGAAATTTCCTGCATCGCAGTTATGCACATGATTCCCCCCTCCCGATTTGTTGACAATTTCTTGTGTGTTTGAGTGAAATTGTTATTAAAACACAATCAGTAGGAACTATTTCTTGTTAGGTATCGAAACTGATGAATCAGCAGACACGATATTAAAAACTATAAATTAAATCATCATTATAGCATGTTGACCTTATAATAAACGCACTATTATCTCTTCTTTGGTATTTCGGTGGTGATGGGGAAAAGAGTAATACTCTAATTCTAAATATCATAACCTCAAAGGACGATTATTTGTAAGAAAAATAAGAAAATTCAGAATATTAGTAATATTCTGAAAGTCTTTAGATTGGTTAGTATCGTTTATCGATGCTGCGTTGACGTTGTGGTCACCATGAGAATAAGGGATCGAATATCGTTTCCCAAGAGGCAATACAAGTATGCTCTGGAGCGATTCGAAGTAGAGATGTCGATATTTTAATCATCGAAATATTCATGTCGATGTGTTATAACATCAATGTTTTGTTTTTCATGTTTTTGTTTTTCGATGTTTTGTTTGTGAATGAAATATTCTCATAATCACAATTTCGTAAAAGTTTAAATATGAAATAATATCTGATGGTACCACTGTCAGTATATGTGTTCGAATGAATTGTTGTGTATACCACGAGTTCGTACAAATTTCATATTTTCATATCGTAACATGGATGTTTTGTTGTCGATGTCACATCGTGTAGTTCGAAGCAGGGGGGTGGGGTGGCAGAGATAGCTGGAGGGCTGACGTAGTCGCTCGCAGCTGTCGTCTGCATGGCGACTGGCTGGTCGGCCGGTCAGTCGCGGGGTGCTTAATCGCCGCTTTGTTCGCTCGTTTCCGCCGATGAAGTGTGTCACTTCGTCTCCGGCACTTCCTATGATAGTCCGTAGGGGGACGGCAAGGACACTGTCCAACTGACAGGACTCGGCCACCATCCGTTTCTTTTCTTCCTCCTCGTTTTTCTTCTCTTCGTTCTCTATTTGTCTTCCTCCTCGCGTTTCTTATCTTCGTTCTCTATTCTTCTTTCTCCTCGCGTTTCTTCTCTTCGTTCTCTATTTTCTTCCTCCTCGTTTTTCTTCTCTTCGTCATCTATTTTCTCCTCCTCCGTTTTGTTCTTCTCACCCGGCTGGATTTCTCTCCATCCTCTTTGATCTTCTCCAAATCCTTTTTCTTCTTTTTTCTTCTCCTTTTTCTCATTTTTCTTCTCTTCCTCTTCATTTTCTCAATTTGAAATGATAAATGTGGTAAACTGGTGAATTGAAAATAAGGTATAGTTAAAAATAACTCTGTGTGTGTTATGTGTGATATGTATGTCGATAATTAAATTTATCAGCATAGGATCAAGAACGTTTTACTACGTAGTACTAAATGGAGATTTACATCGTAGTCGGAATATTTTTAAGGATGAAAAGGAAAAAGGGACCCTTCGATAGAAGTATATATTTTAACAATATCAGTAACAAAATTTTTCCGAATAATTAATATAACCAACATTAGTTCAATTTTCAGATGTATTGCAGCCGCCACTGATGTTCTATGTATCTCATTTCGAGAATGACCTGCGTGTGTTTATTCGGTTACAAAACCATAGAGTGGTCTTCTGCAGAAAACCCTTCGCAACGTAACTCTGAAAGGTAAATAAACTACGAGAACGGACGTCGTGTTGTGCCGGACTAGAAAATAAACTAGTGTACCTGCTTCTTTAGTTAACTTGGTCTATAATTCCCGACGTCAGCCATCATCACGCACGTAAACGAGTCGTTCGCCTGTGTTTCCCGGGGACAACCGGTCCCCATCCCTTTCGCTGACGGTCGCGCCACCTGGTTGAAGGCCTTTCGGAACATGTCACGATTCCTACCCGTCTTCCTTTCCATCGTTGCGCTTTCCATTACGGAACGTCTCGAGGGCGTCTAGTCGCTCGTATCTCTTCCCTGCAGCGCTCTAGAGACCACTGCGATGGCGTTGGTTCTCTGAATAGACACGGAAATTACTGCACCGCGCAAGTCGTATCGTCCGCATCCAGTTGAATGCGTGTCTGTCTCGTTCTCTCTCTCTCTGGTCGTCCCCTATTGATCTCTAACTGGTTTGCTAACCTTGAGTACGCTTTGAGCATGATAGGTCCTTAACCTTAGGCTGAGGATCCTTGAACTTTGGAGAGTACTTATTTGTAATTTCATTGATGGACCGTCAGGGTCAAGGTGGAGTGTCTGCTAGGCTTTGTTAGCTTGAAGAGGTAACGTGATTGGTTTAACTGCAGGATCACTTCTGATAGAATAGTTCTTCTTCTGCTTGATAACGTTTGGATGCGCTCCTGTCCGCTCCGAACGACACGAAAGGTGAATTTTTGCGAAAGATATTGTTTGTTGTTGTTCTCATGATTGTCCCCCCCCCTCTTCGGTATACGAATGAAGTAGTCACAAATATTTAGATTACTTTGATGAGGTGGGTGACGAAACTTCCTTTTTACATTTTAAAATTATTTACTATGTACATATAAAACTATTTTCAGTAAATAAAAAAACAGTCTTCTTACACTTCATTCAACCATGTAATACTGACCAATTAGTATCATGCTGGTTTTAGTTTTTTCTTTAAAAAGTGTAAAATAAAAAGATATCAGGAAAATATTTTAAAAAATCACCTTGAAACCGGTAATTAGTGGCTTCCTTACAATTGTCAAAACAATTCTTGCAGTGCTTCATACATCTTAAAACTTCATATCTATGAGTTTTGAAATGTGCTGAACAAGCTGGTAAAATTTCATGTCCGTCTGAGTATCCTGTCAGAATTATCGATATTTTGAAGCCGAGGATTTTTAACATTGATATTGCGTGTTTAATGTTTTACGTGCTTCATATTTTTTAAATGCAAAAAGTACCATAAGCAAGGTGTCATAATTGTCAGATATCCTTAAATTGAATTTTCTCTAAACTAAAGTGACCAAACATGAAAAATAAATAAACTCAAAGTTTTCGTCAGTAAAGAAGCCTACATTATTTTTGAATTATCGAATCAGATAATTTATGTTTTGTTAATTATCCTGATTTTTTAAACTTTTGTGTGTCGGATA